TTCTTCTTTAATCGGTAATAAAAGTCGTAATCACCTACGATTTTGATTCGTTGAGGAAATCAAATAGTTTCTACAATTAATTAAGAGTCATGAACGACAGATATTATGATTTCTTTACTGTACGATTTTGACTAGTCGACGAGGAAATCAAACAGTTCTCTTATATAATGATAGTGATTACTAGGTCTAGTAATTTCTTTGCTCTACGATCTTGATTAGTCAAGAGGAAAACAAATAATTTTTATTAAGTAAATGATAGTGACGATACGTCTCTTAGTTTGTAGTCACGGAAGAATTTTGATTAATCGACGAGGAAATCATATTGTTTCTTTACGATTTTGATTAGTCGAGAGGAAAACAAATAGTTTTTATTAAGTAAATGATAGTGATGATACGTCTCTTAGTTTGTAGTCACTGTAGAATTTTGATTAATTGACAAGGAAATCAAATTGTTTCTCTACGATTTTGATTAGTCAAGAGGAAAACAAATAGTGATGTTACTTCTCTTAGTTTGTAGTCACAGTAGAATTTTGATTAATCAACAAGGAAATCAAATTGTTTCTCTACGATTTTGATTAGTCGAGAGGAAAACAAATAGTAATGTGATGTTACTTCTCTTAGTTTGTAGTCACCGTAGAATTTTGATTAATCAACAAGGAAATCAAATTGTTTCTTGAATTAATGGTCACCATTGCTTAGTATCAAATAGTTTCTCAAATGTTTTTCGTTCGTCGACTGGATCACATTAGGTGTTAAAGTTGATCTGTTTGTTTCATTCGTTGTTGACTTGTGTCTCGTTTTAAACTATCTCGATTTGATTTATCTGTCTCGATACAACTGTGTTAACGGTGGTTTCTGTTGATGTGTGAATTGAATGGTTAGAAACAACATTTATCGGTATATATTGGATGTAAATGGATAATCCGGTATACCGTAGCATTGTATTGAGTTTAACGTTTTAATCAATATTTGAAATAACTATATAACAAACTTCTTTTCTGAATCTCATACTTTCTCGTTTCTTTCAAGTTTAAGGTGTATGATTGTAACATTTTCTGATTTAGAGAATATTGCCTTGTTAGAGTACTATTATAAAATGTTTATACCATCGACAATCGATTTGCTTCGGCTGAAGAACTTTGTGATCTGAACTTGGAGTTTGTTGTTACATGCAATTAGGCGCACTCCAATCGTAATATTTCTCTAAAAATCAATTTTCCTTAAATGTTGTAATATGTCATAATAATTTTGTCAACTTTTTAACAATCCTTTATGTGATTGTAGTGTTGGTCATGAAAAAAAAAGTGGAAAAAAAAAAAAACAATCCTCATTTTCAATATTTGGACATCGCACTGTATTAGGTGAAGGATTTCTGTGATTTCACATTAAGGATAAGAACTCATTTTCAGCATTCGTGAGATTTTGGTATTAGAATAAAGTGAAGCGATTCAAGTGGAAAAATGATGCATAATTTCTTCCAATGTGTCGTGTAGTAAAAATCAATTACATTTATTTCCTTGAAACAGCACATCTCTATCCAAGTATTTCTTTATGACGTTGCTCTGGGTGAAGTTAACTTTGTTCAAGCTATTTGGTTTGATGACAGGTACAGGTGCAGTTTGCATCAGTTTTTTTGCTCCTGAAGATTAAATGAAGATTTCGAAGTCCACAAGGTTAGTACCGCACTATTGCTCCCAATTTCTTATTTCGATTCAAAATCGTAAAAAATGATAATTACGTGGAACTCTAGAAGTTTGAGCACTTTGAATCTGATTTGTTTAGTTTAGCTAAACACCATTAATTGCTGACTAGGATAGCTGCTTCGGCGGGAGAAATTTGAAACTTTTATGATTGTTACTGAACTGCTTCGAAGTTTTTCTCTAGCTTATTTGTTATTACTTAATGAAGTGAAAGTGCATTTAATGTTTTCTGCCTCCATAAAAGTAGTTTTACTTTCATAAAAATACCATTCCGGGGACACAGACTTCAGATTAATTTAATGATCCATTATCTGAAACCTTTCACCGAGCATCAAACTCTCCCTACTCAGTGTCTAATGCATTTAGATTGGGGTATCAACTTCGGTTTGTCCTCCCATTTCCTAACTGTTTCCTTCAAGAAAACTAAGCAGACATCTTCTTAATTGTAATTGGGGATTATCCAAGGTACCTCTTCTACTTTTCTGTCATTGGATTTCATAATTTTCCCGTCTTATTTTGCATTCTTAACGTTGAGAAGGTCGTCGGATGCATTCCTTCCAACTATATAGGTTTTCATCTTTCACATACTGGGATCTGGCTGATCTTAGGGCATATGGAGCTATTATAATCTTTCAATGCCTCGTTAAGACCACGATATATATCATCCTATTTGTGGACTTCAATCTTTTAACTGCCTGTAGTCATTCTGCTTATACCATCTGATATCAGGATCTCCAATTCCCAACAACTCAAAATCATAACAGTTTTCTGTCAAACCCATTCAATTTTTACTTCAAAAAATCCTCTTCCTGAAACTCTTGCAATCTCAAGATTCTCAAAGCTGTAAGTCAACTCATCTTTCTGTAGTCGCAGCTTTTTAATGGTTGGTTTCTTCTTGATCAAGCGTAATACAATCGTTCAATTGCGTTACAATCCATTCATAAAAATTTGGCATCTGAAGTATTTACCTTGGACTTCTCTAATTGACATGGGCTCATAATATTGGTATAAAGTACTCTTATTGCCCATTTTTTTAGGCCTATCTATTGCGCTATAGTATATCTTGAGAAACAAACGAAGTGTTTGTCTAAATCATCTCCTCCCATGAACCACACTAGATGTGTCAAATTTAAACTTGCTGCGGTCATCGAATTATCCATCCGTGGGTAATTAACTCGAGCTTCTAGATAGATGCGTCAAATTTTAAGGAATCCAAGTAGCTTTCGTGCCAAGTTCTTCTAGTTGATGTGTGCTGCTGTAACAGTAGGAAAGATCATGAAATTAAAAATTGAACTGTAAACAGATCCATAAAAATTTAAATGGAAATAAAACAATTTAGAACGTGAAAACATTGCAAATGTTTTATGAAAATCTCCAGACATGTAGGTAAAGAATGTAGTTATAAACTACAAATATTATATTGTTCTGTTATCTAATAATTCTTTTTAGAGAATTAAATTATGAATAAATTTTGAAGAAAACACATGCATTTTTAGCCAAATTTCAAAAATTGAAATAAAAATACGTTTGATCACTGTTTGAATTTTTTAAATGAAGTTATACATACAACTTTTACCACCTATTTTTTACAAACGATTTCGCAGTTTAATTCAAATTTTGGATGTTTTTTGGATCCAATTTTTATTTTCAGGATTTGGTTAAGAAATGAAATGTTTTATTAAAATGATAATTATGGTAAAGAAATTATGAGAAAAATATAACTTATAAAAAATAAATCAAATAGTTGCCTGATGGAATTTTAATAACACTCTTTATAGTTTTTTGGATTTTGAATTATGCTAAAATGTGATCCTAAACAAAAAGCTTAGTTTGCAAAAATAAATAATTAAAAGCTTAATTTGCAAGAATAAGAATCAAACGTAATGAGAGTTCAAATGCAAAAATAGTGGTTAAATAAGTCAAAAGGAATAAAAAGAGTACACCCTAGAGTAGGTTGAATAAATTTGGTGATCTAGGGATTGTGCAAGCATTTTTTTTCATTTCATTCTACATGTATATCTATCTACCTTAATATACGAGACAAGTCTTCAAATTTTTACCCCTATACTTGTTGACAACTTCAAAAGCATTTTTCAAATGTTAAAAATTATAATTAGGCATATAACAAAAACAAATGAACTAATGAAGAAACATAATGTGTTAACATTCATTATTTTTATTTGAAAAAAAACTACTTTTAGAGTATAATTCTATAGATTTTAAAATTTATTGACAATTTCAAAAGCATTTTTCAAAATTTAAAATTATAGCAAAAATAGGTATATGAAACAAAAACAAAACCTAAAATGATAATTAAACATGGCACTTAAAGGTGGTGGAGTGTAGAGATAGTAAAATTTTAGATTTTGGAGAGATTACAAATTAAGCCTTTAAAAACATATTGTTTCTAAAAAAAAGAATTGATTTAAACATTTAAAAACATATATATATTTTGAAAAAAATGATTTCAAGTGTTTCTTTTATTCCTAAAATTCGTTTTTAAAAATTTCATGATGAATGCTATAAAAAAGACGGTTTTTTTCTGGGAACTTTTAATATTTAATATTCAATGGTAGAGCTTAAAATAGAGAGAGAGATAGAAGAGATAGGAGTGCTGTTAAAGCGCAAAAAGAGGAGAGAAATTTTGGAAGATACCCATATTGCAGCGATGCATACAATTACGGATGTAGCAGCAAAACACCGAGCATGTCAAAAGTTGCAGTTTCCTCGCACGATAAGAGCAGGAAGCCCCTCATAATTTTATAAAGGAAATTAATAACGAATTTAGCCTAATTTTTTTAATCCAAACACTATCTCTCATTATAACCAAACTCAACTAGTAAGATTCAAATTTATTTAAACCAAACTATTTATTAACATTTTTTTTATCATACATAATTTGTAACACTAAAATAAAAAAGAACATGCATAGAGTTTTAAGAGATTTAGGGGTTTTAGGATTTGAACTAGTTATGATTGTTATCATGGTTATAGTTTTAACTATACATTACATAAACACAATGAAACTTTTTAAAATATATTTAGGGTTTTCATACTTTTTTAAGTATTTTTCATACATTACATCGTTTTTTTCATAAGACTTTATTTCTAAATATTTGGTAAAATTTAGGATATGATTTTTTTTCTATATATTTTTAGTTTTTTTTTAATAACTCTTTTCATGAATATATACATATATATGTTAGCTTGTTACCAATTCTGTCCTATTGATTTATTTAGGTTTTCTGTACATTTTCTTAAAAATTACTTTTTATTAACCAACGGATCTCCACTTCTCTATCATAAATCATAACTATATAACAAAATCATCCTCATATTTACCCTAATATTTTCCCTCAAACAAAAACCAATCAATCTCCTCTCCTCCTCTCCTCCTCTCCATTACCATATTGACAAAATCAAACATTCCAACAAAATCATACAAATAAATTTTTCATACCTTATTTCTCGAACTTTCTTTTTTCACGTGTTTTCCTGTCAAAATTAACAGCAATAGTTAGTCATAAAGTTACCCCAACACAAAATAAGAATAAAAAACAAAAATGGTAACCTTCTGAGGAAAAGCAATGAGGTAGCCGTATGTAGCCGTATAAAAAAACGTGAACAGAGTTTTCTTCTCGAACTTTCTTTTTGTGATCTTTTTTCTTGTCAAAGATAGCACAACCACTAGCCATAATAACAATTAGTTGGAAAAATAAAAGTTAAAGCAAGCATACTAAGAACATTATTCGTGCAAAGAAAATTTTCATACCTTGTTTTTCTGGCTTTTTTTTTTTCCTGTCAACATTAACAGCAATAATTAGTTATAATAAAAAAAAAGTAAAAAAATAAATTAAGAAGAACTTAACCCAACAATAAGAATCAAAAGCAAAAATATATCCTATAATGAAGTAACCATGATCAAGAATCGTGGGAATTTCTTTTTTCTATCGAGCTTGGTGGAAGTAGAAGAGAAGTCAGTTGCAACGAAGAATTTTTTTTTCCCCCTCTGTCCTATCGAACGTACTGGAACGAGATAGAAAAATAAGGGAAGGGAAACATAAACCTCTTCGTTTTTTTGAGAGAAGAGACGATAACGGTGAGAAACCTCTTCGGACCTTTTAGGTTCTGCGCTGGGTTTTCTAGAAGTGGAATGCATTTCTTTTTCAACCACCATTTTTAAGCTCCTGGCCGACGCTGTCGCAACACTAACGTCCAGGAATTTCCATTGGGACACGTCTCTTTGAGAGACCCATTCCTATAGGGTGAGTCTTTCAAACTGATGTACTCCAATAAAGACTAATCTGCTCCTTTTTTGTAATTAGTTTTGGGCCTAAATTCTTCTTCTTCTTCTTTTTTTTTTCTTTTTACAATATTGTTGTAAGCCACTCGCACTTTTCTGGGTAAATATGGAGTATAGCTCTCGCAGGTATTAACACGTGAGTTGTTCCCCAAAGGAGAAATCTTGACTTTATTTGTTCGTCCATTGCCATTTTATCTCGGAGTTGTATTGGCTATTTGATTCACTTTTAGGGATGACTTTTGGAATTATGAAAAAAAAATATAGCCAATTTAAAGCACATTTTTCCTGAAAATTTTGAGGAAAAGAAACTAAAGAAAGACGGGAGAAGTTCAGGATATCACAACAGTTTTGAAGACTTCCTTACGACTTTTATTCTTCACACATCACTGAGATTTGACTAATTTTCTCTCAAATATTTGAAAGATTTTTTTCCTCGCTGGGAGATATCTGGCTTTAATTTGATTTCTTATCAGCCATTCGTATTTCCTTACAGAAAAATCTAACAAATTATTCATAAAGGCATACGGTAAAGAAAGCACAGGGAGTGTAAGAAAGAAATAAAACTAAGAAGGCAGATAAGTATTATTTACTGGTTTTTTATTAACTCGGGATAGTATCTTCAACAGAACCTATTTTTCCAAAACTATCATAATGTATAAACTAACCAGTGTACATTCGAATCGAGTAACAACTAATAATAGTTCTATAAATGATGGAAAACCACTAAAGAATAACTTAGGCCTACAAGTAACTAGACTACTAAGAAAAAATAAGATATCAAACTAATGAAAATTACTTCTATCACGAATTTAACAAAATTAATAAGAAAAACAGGATGCATATAAGAAACTAGTTCGGCGACACTTATTTTGAATAAGAAATTTTAGAGAATATTACAAGCAGAGCAGAACTAATTGCACGTAACAACCAGTAAATGAACAAAATCCAAATACAGATCACAATTCTCTTAGGCCGAAGCAATTCAATTCTTGAATGTATAAGACTTTAGGATCAGTAATTTCTCCAACAAGACATTCATTAACTCCAAAGTATCACAATCAATCATAATGCATAAAAATGAAAGAGTTAGGAAACACGACATTCAGAGAAGAATATGGACGCTAGCTGAGCTCAACAAAAGGTTATAAAAGTACGACAGAGTAAAATCGTCAAAATACTTACCGAAAACCACTGTTCTGGTAGCAATTAAATTCACGTAACAGCATAACACATCGCTGACACGAGATCATTCTCAAAGCTCACCGTGGAAGGAATTTGAACTCATAATAATAAGCACTATAGCAGCTCATGCAGGATCTGAAATAAAAAGAACCGATAGAGATTCTGTTAATCATCGGATCATCCATAAAATAGATAAATCGATATGAATCAACAATCGACAAAACTCCTAATCTAATACGATCGACGAACAAAAAAACTTTTGATTATTAGGAATATGAAACTGAGTGATCGCGATCATTACTTCATTATAAACGACTTTATTTCTTCTTCGACTAATCAAAATCGTAAAGTAATTAGGATTTATGAGAATAAGCGATCGCGATCATTTGTTCAATAAGAAAACTGTTTTCATTTCGACAAATCTAGATCTAAACAACTAGGATTTATGAGACTGAGCAATCAAGATCATTAGTTTAAACAATGATTTGGTTTCCCCTTCGACTAATCAAATTCCTTCAGTAATTACGATTTATGAGACCTAACAATCACGATGTGGAAATCTAATCACCGAAACATACCTGTGTTAGCCTACAGCATCGTAAGCCACCAATAATTCCGAACTCTAATATCATCGTCCACGCGTCAGAGCAACTTCAAGAACACGAAGTTTAGTCTCGTTCGATTTTCTTCAAACAGCCTTCCCTCCTTTCTTCGCCTTTATATAGAGAAGCAGAAGCCGTTTGTGATTTACATACAGACCCCCTAGTGGGCCAGCTTATGCGGCTAGAAAATGGGCCGAAGTAGAAAACGGGTAGGCCCAAGTCCAATTCCTTTAGGAATATCAACGAAAGAAGATGGTTTATTATTATTATTATTATTATTATTATTATTATTATTACTATCATCATCATCAACAAGTAGAATGGAAAAATACTTGATTTTGTTCGTATGCTTAGATCCATATTCTAATATTTTACACGTTTTCTTTTTACACAATAATAAAATGATAATTTCCATCAAAATAGTAACTTTTTTTATTTATATGGATGGAATGATTCTCATCTCTAATATCCAGCTTGAAAATAATAATATTCAAGTAGATTGTATTTAGTTGCCAGCAGAGTGAAAATATAGAAAAAATTGTGGGGAACGACTTAAGGATAATTTTTTAATTTTTCTAAAAATTTAATCGAACCATACAAACCATATTAAAAACTATGTTTTTTTAGTGGGAACTAATTAATACTAATAGCCAATTTAGACAAGGTAGGAAGGACAAGAACACCGGCACCCTACCAAATAATTTAGTTTTTTTAAAATTAAATATATATATATTTTCAAGTTTTTTTTAATTAAAAATATATATTTTCAAGTTAAGAGATTAAAAGTTGGAATTTTCACTTACATAAAAACAAAATTTGGCACGATGGAAACGCAACTGACGGCCAAGTATGGGAGCGAGCTTATCTTTCAATCAGACAACGCTAGCCAAAACTCAACCCAAGAACAAATCAAGAAAAGCTGAGCAAGCGGTATTTAATTAATACTCTTAACAGTGCAACACAGGTTATTTTGCCAATGAAAAGCAATACCATTTCTGAAGGGAAAAAAACGATTTCAAATTATTATGGCTCGTTCTGGTATATCATTCCGCTCAGATGAGCTTTAATGATCCAAAAAGTGAAGCAATCACGACACTAAAATCTAAATGACTTGATTTGTGCACTGTTTTGAGAAGGAAAAAGTAGCCAACAAAATGAGAAATTTCAATCCAAAGAATTAAGAGAATTAGAGAGAAAAGCATGTAAGGAACTATGATTTCTGTATAAGAAAACTATAAGCAAAGGACTGACCCGCTGCTATGTTTTTGAAGGACAGCCCTTTAACTGGATGGTGATTAAGCCTTCAATCTATAAAACGTCCCTGGCTTGATGCAGGAAGCTGTTCTTTAGAAATTAAAACTTATCTGTGGAAATCATTAGGAATTTAATGATTTGTCTCTCTGCTCATTTTTCCATGAATTTTTTGCAGCGCCTGCAGATGTATCACCAGAATCCCCATCCTTTGGTTTGGAGAAGAAGGGATCCCATTCATGAGGTCCAACTTCCCGCTGCCCGTCTTCCAGTAACGCGTACTTCCAACTATTTTCCTCGATAAAATTTTTGTCTGTGTGTCCTTCAATAATATCTATCCTCAGCTTCGTAACCTTGTCGATAATGGCTTGCACCGAGACATCGAAAGCATCTTTCAAAGTCTCCAACTTAGAGCGTGGATCGGCGTATACCAATCTCGGAATCATACTGATTACCTCCTCCTGTATTAGCTTCAGCTGCTCAGGAGAAATTTGTGAAAGCCTTTCTTCTATGCTAACATTTCTCTTGCGGATATCGTCCTCTGGGATGAATACTGAATATCTTGTAAAATTCTTGGGGAGATGCCAAGTGTATTGGGTGTATGCTGACCCTGGATGGAAGAAGACGGGTATGCAGCCAGCTAGCATAGCGTCAAAGGCAGATCTTCGAGTATACGAGTCGCCCTGAGGTTGCAGGCAGAAAAGGGAGCTCTGAAACATCTGCATTATACTACTCGGAGAATGACACTTGCTCTCACCAAAATCACATTCGAGTAGCTTGCAGACCTTAGAGTTCTTGCATTGATCAATAATCTGCCCTCTAATTGACTTGGGATTGTCGGGACGTGGAGCGCCAGCGAATGAGTACAGCCATTTGCGTTCTAGCTTTCTCATCCGATCCTGCCAAATAAACACATCATCATCCTTTGCTGGATGAAAATATGTTGGATATGGAATACCAAAATCATTGGCATTCCATGGGCTTGATTCAACCACAAGCATGGACATGTTCTTAGCAGCAGGTAAAAACAGAAGCTTATTTCCCCAATCTGTTTCTTCCTCAGAGAGCCTCCTGAAATCCCATGTGATCCTACCTGCAACAAGGAAGTGATCTTGACCACCCATAACGCCCCATTCGGGCCTTTTCTCAAGCCAGTCGACCAAATCAAGTGAAGCTCTATCTCTAGTAGATATATTATATCCCCAAAGGTATCTCGCAATATCAAATCCAGCATAAAATGGTACAAAAAAGGCAGAAGCAATGGAAGAATCCTTAGTCAAACAATCATACTGCTTCATTCGATTACTGAAAATCACATCGACTGCAAATTGATTCGTCGCATACCACCCTGTATCTGAAAACACTCCTTCCACATTCTCAAGTGGTGGACCAAGCCCAGCGTTAGTTGTGAACTTGCACATATTTGTCCAAAGGCTTAGACTCTTACACTCCTTCAGCATATCCTCATTAAACCTAGAAGGAAGATCATGAACAAATACATACCTCCCACCGCATGGATCGCTCTTGTTTTCAACAGTTTTCAATGCTTTAACAAAAGGAAAATTCTGAACCTCAGGTTTGGCGGTGGACTTAGGCTGCTGGTCTACAGGCTTTGTAGGCTCGCGGGTTGATTTCACATCAACTTTCGTTGCGTCGACAACACGAGAAGGAGCAAATTTCCGGACCACCGGCAAGTTTACAGGTCTATCTTGGAGGCTTAATTTGATCGATTCATCAACAGCATGTCCTCCAAGCACAACAAAATGAAAGTACAACAATAGGATCCAGAAGAACGCCGACAATAACGCTAGAAAACAAAGCCGAGACTTCTGATTCTTCCCGGCACCTCTGTCCATTTTTTCCGACGGGGCAATCACTACCGGCTGGCGTCTCATCGGATGGAATCATCCAATCCGGCTGCTTGCCAGGTCTCCATTTCGCAAGAATCGCTCACAAGTCCGTCACCAAATCCCAAAATCCAGAAGAAAAAACACCAATACCTCGCTCGCCTACGATTTCCGATGCGAAAAAACAACTGAAAATACTGTAGAACACAATACAAAATGAAGGAAGAATTAGAAATAGCAGCCAGCGGATTCAAACAACGTGACGTAAATGTCGGACAATGCGATCGAATCTAGAGAGATCGAAGACGCAACCCAATGGAACGTTGTACCAAGAGAAATCCCGAAACGCGAGGAATTATTAGATGCTTTGGTCGGTTGCATTACATTACTAAGCAAATCACAGAAATAATAACCAAATTGAAAAGAAATTAGAACGGATCTTCCAATAGGTACAGAAATAGCGGAAGAAAGATAGATATAGAGACTTACAGCGGAGACTGGATGATACTCCCGTTAATTTGAAGCGAAATTCTCTCGGATTCGCTCGGATTTTCGAGATTTTTTTCTTATTTTGTGAGCTGTGCCAGTGAAACAGGGAGCGAATTAGCAAAGAAATGCAAGATAATTGGTGACGCCGTGAACTGAAAAGACTCCGCCCGCCGGTATTACACTATTGTCGGTAGTCGCTACGATTGCACCACGTGTCCGCCTGTGAAAATTTGATCCCATCCCCGGGAAATACGGTGCATGGCCGAAAGGGTTAAAAAGGGAAATTAAATAAATCAAAGCTTGTGCCAGATGCCAAGGTAAATTAGTACACGTGGAGTGCAGTGATTGGATGGAACAAACCCTCACTCGGTTTGTGGGTCAGATCTGGTTGGACTGGTTCAATTATTTCTTCGATGTAAATATTTTCGATTCTTACCATAGTATAGTTGACAAAAGAAAAATTCAACCTGCCGTTAAAATAATAGTTTTCAATTAAGTGTTTCTTAAAACATTGTTCTCTTCGTTCATGTATTGGATCTCATCAAAGGAAAATAACGCATTTAATAAATGATTGTTTTTACCAAAAATTTTTATAGAGTTTTGAAATGTAATCACTATAAGAGTTTTGAAATGTAATAAATTCTTTTATTTTTATTTTATTTTTTAATCTCTAAAAAAAGCATCTAAAACGTTGAATGGTTTAGCTTTTTGAATCTAAAAAGTTGGAAATGTATTCGAAATATTCCTTTTCTTAATATATTAAAAAAATATATTTTTATTTCAGATAATTTCTCTGAACTGATTGCTGAGTTCTATTTTTTATTTTTTAAGGATTAAACTAATGCACGTCATATGATCACATGATGATGAAATTTGATTATCATTAGCTTAAACCACTTGATTAGTACAAACACTAGATGCCCATCCCATTGCTTTTACCCCACAGAAAATTATTAATTTATTACATAATATTAATAATGTGTTTTCTATTATTAAATTATAATTTGTGGGTCAATTGACAACTTATTGATAAAATTGTTCCATTGTTTACCAATTATGGAGGAACATTGGTTCTTTCCTATAAGTTAAACATAAATTTACAAAATACTCGAAAATTTGTTCTTTTTTTAAAAAAATATATAAAATTAAATAAGTAGTCATTCATAATTTAAATTTAATGTTTACATTTTCTATTAAAAAAATTTATATTTTTTTTATTGAAAATAGCTAATTTTTAAATTTATTAAAAATACTTCACTAAAGTTAAACGTATGAAAAGTATATATATTAAAATGGAATAAAATGTAAAGTCGATGAACAAAAAATATTATTTAATATTGTATTTCTAGGTTTATAGTCTCTCCTAAACAAGTCAACCCACAAATTAAGACCACGACACAAAAATAAATATATACAAAAAAAACAAACAAACAAACAAAATGGTAAATTGTTAGTGGTCCTTAATCTTAGTTATGAGGATTTTTGTGCATTAAAGTTACAGCTCTGCATGTTGGGAGAGCCATGTCCGCAGGTTTGGAATCATCCTATTTTATTAAATTTTGGTTGAGTGGGCTGCCACTACGTTCACAATATTATGTGTACACATTGTGGGGGTGTCTTTCTTCACCTCATTAAAAATTAATTAAGAACACGATGCCTAACTTTAGAACATTTTCATGAACATCTGTATTTGGGTTCATAATTTTCTCTTTTTCATAATTTTTTTATATATATCTACCGAATCAATTTTTATACACTTCGATAAATAATTGTTTGACTTTAAATTTAATGTTTCTAAACCTTGTTATTACTTACATAGTTCTTATTAGCCGTTCCTAAATAAATCTGTGTCAATTTAATTTTCTAACTCAACTATACATAAGAGTTTGAAGATTCAATTTTTTTATATTTTAATCGACAATATAAGTTTAGATTGAATTGTCAGGACTCGATCATCTTCTACGAGATTTTATGTGACGAAGTTTTTGAATCAATAATTTAATGCGATGGCCCCTCTGGTGTCTTCCCTTCATTGCCGGACATGTACTCAGGAAGGACTTGCTGGCTTTTTTGGAGCAACCCATGAGATGGTTGATTGATCTTTTCATGCATGTATCAGTCTAAAAATGATAGAGAAATATTAGAGAATGAGATGTAAATAAAACATTGGATTAAGAAATGACATATGTGTTCATTTTGCAAGCAAAATGGACGTTGAGTCATGCAATAACCTTCAAGCTGCATAAACACGCTTTTCTTGTGTTTTTTCGATAAAATCTCCAACTTTGTTGAAATTAAGTAAACAAAAATAATATTATCCCGAGTTAGATATGTAGGTTTAATCTATATTTGTATTTAATAAATTTTTAGATTTAAAATGTATCTAATATGTCTAAATTTTTTCAATTGTATCTAAAATTTTATAACTTTAAAAATATTAAATAAGACGTCATATATTTAGTTAATAAATCTGCTCATATATGAAAATGAACTTTTCATAAGATATTACTGTTAGACGATGAAACTCTCACATCCGCTAATTTAACGGTTGAATACTCTCTCCTTTTAGACAATACCTTTTGGGGGAAGCCCAAAAAGTTATACTCAAAGTGAACCTAAGAGCTTATACTTATAGACAATATCATAATACTCAAAATAGACTCAAGAGCTTATACTCGTAGACAATATTATACCATTATGGAGAGTCATGTTTATCTAACCATTACCTTCTCAATTTTATATTTAAATTAGTTGAAATATAATAAGCCTTCTCAATTCAAAAAAATTCACATTTTTTTACTTTTTCAAATTTATTTGTTCAATGAACTTAACCTCAAAAAGGTTTAAATAATTAAATAAAAAATAAAAATGGGAATGTGAGCAGTTTAGTGAACAATAATTATAAACATATAATTCACATTGCAAGTAAAAAAATAAAAAAATAAAAAAAATAAAACCATCTATCAATTCCACGTATTCATGCTGGGCTTGTTTTCCCGCCAGGTTACCGTACTTTCTACTGGCCCAAGGGCTCAGGCAAAGGAGAGAGAGGCCCAAATGAAGCCAGCCGACTCATTTGCCGGTCCTCTTTACCATCCTCCTCGACGTGAGAGCTGTGCAATTTTCAGCGTTCGTTAATGGCGAAGGTATAGATCGATACACGATATCGTGTTTAGGGTGAACAAGAAAAAGCTTCTTCGGAAGAATATGGAGGACGAGGCGGAGATATACGATGGCATCAGAGCTCAATTCCCTCTCACATTCGGGAAGCAATCGAAAGCTCAGACCTCTCTCGAAGCCATCCATAACACCACTCGTCGTAACACTTTAGCGACTGTTTCAGAAAAATCTTCTTCCGCTCAGAATAACAATGGTCTCCCTTCTATCTCTTCCTCCTCCAAAGCCTGGCTCAACTCACTTCGCACTTCCAAAAACCCTAACACACATGTTTCGGGCGATTCTGGACCTATTGGGATCACGCGTGACGTTGACGCTGACGATGGTCCGAGGATTGGCCCGCCTCGCCCGCCCACGGAGTTGAAATTGAATGATGACAGCGATGACAACGATGATGATGATGCAATGGTTGGGCCTCCGCCGCCGCCGCCGCGTGGCGAGGGTTCGGATGATGATGAGGATCACGACGGGGAAATGATTGGACCACCACGTCCACCGCCGAGATCGAATTTGGATGATTCGGATGTGGAGGAGGAAGAATATGAGGAGAATCGGTATCGAATTCCGCAGAGCAACGAGATTGTGCTCAAAGGACATACGAAGGTTTGAATTACCCTAATTTCACCCTATTCAGCTCCTTGTTAATTTGTTTAATGCCCAAAACCAAGGAAAGAATGAACTTATTGTGCATTTTTAGTTGGCATCTCTAGATTTGGGTATCAAAGTGTATAGGCTTGGCTTGTTTTCAATACCGAAGTAGCTTGAATTAGTCAAGGTGCTGAAGTTGGGTTTTGTGGAAATAATTTTGTTCTCTGCCTATTCCTCACATTCACTAGCTCTGCTTGACTTCTGGATGAATTTAATGAACCATTTTGAGCCTTATAGCTGAAGTGTGAGTGTAAATTGAAGATTGTTTTCTTTTCCGACCCCATTTAACTCTTTTGGGTTATATAGTTTTGGCAAGTGATTTCATTGTTATTGCTCTCCCAGGAGAGTGAACTTTCAAGAATAAGTCTTCAAGGACTTGCATTATGTTCAGAAGCATAGGAGTTTTAGGATGTTCGTTTTAAGTATCTTCTATTGGTTTTTCAGTAGGGTGATAGTACAAAAGATTCTGGAAAGATTAGAACATTAGCTCACTACAGCGTAGCTCAACAGGCCAAGGCGTATACCCTCGACTAGAAGGTCAAAGGTTCAAATCGCTCCACTCCATAGGTTATTAAGCTAAAAAATATTCGACCAGAAAATCTATTGACATTCCAGCAAAATCCTGACCAGATAGTTAATAGTTGTTGACACTAGGAGTTCCTAGTTAATAGGGCCTTGTTTGATAACTTCTATGAAATTACCCCCGGAACACGAGCAATTATCAGCAAGAGAAATACCGAAAGACGAGAAAAGAAATAACATAGTGTTGTAGTGGTTCGGCATTTTTGCCTGCATCCACTTTGAAGATGCTGCTGTTCTTATTTCTCCTGTTTTCTTTCAAACATTCTGATTACTAGAAGAAGGAAATAAACCTACTTTTCTTTCAAATATTCGTTTTGTTTTTGGAAGTTGGCTAAGAATTCAAATGTTTTCTTTAGAAATATGAAACTCAATGGTGAGAAAACAAACACAATTTTCAAAATCTCCATAATCATTGATTATGGAAGGGGCCTAGATTTTTATACATATTTACTTCTTAGCAAATGTTTGGCTTTATGGTGGTAAGCTGATAGGTCATAAACTTGTATATTAATTTTGAATGATTTTTGACAGGTGGTTTCTGCTCTTGCTGTTGACCACACTGGGTCTAGAGTTCTTTCTGGTAGTTATGACTATACGGTACGTATGTATGACTTTCAAGGGATGAATTCTCGTTTGCAATCCTTCAGACAGCTGGAACCATTTGAAGGTCACCAAATTCGTAATCTTAGCTGGAGCCCATCTGCTGACCGCTTTTTGTGTGTGACGGGCTCAGCTCAAGCCAAGGTGCAGAATGAAGATTTTCAATTCTTGTACAAGCCTGTAGCTTATGCAAGTGTCTAGTATTTAACTAACGTTCATCTTACTGGCATTTCAGATTTATGACCGTGATGGACTTACTCTAGGAGAGTTTATGAAGGGCGATATGTATATACGTGATCTCAAGAACACTAAGGGGCACATATCTGGACTGACTTGTGGAGAATGGCATCCTAAAAATAAAGAGACGATTTTGACATCATCAGAAGATGGATCCCTGCGAATATGGGATGTAAATGACTTCAAAAGTCAAAAGCAGGTTTTCATTTTTCTCTAACTATTTCTGTTTCATTCTTCCTTGCCATTGCCGATTTGTAATTTATGCTGCTGAGGAGGCCTTTCATTCATGCTTGCGGTAAATCAATGTGTAGGTTATCAAACCAAAGTTGGCTAGGCCGGGTAGGATTCCAGTGACGACATGTGCTTGGGATCGTGAAGGAAAAAGCATCGTGGGTGGCATGGGTGATGGTTCTATTCAGGTCTCATTGATTTTCATCCCGATTCATTTCTCTTAGCACTTTACTTCAATGCTTCAAACTACATTTTAATTCTTGCTTCCCCCATATGGAGCTCTCTGCATTCTCATCAGTTTCGTTCAGTTTGTTTTAAATTCACTTTGCCATCATATGCGTTATCATCCTTGCTCCATGTTTTTGCAGATATGGAACCTTAAGCCTGGATGGGGAAGCAGGCCAGACATACACGTTGAAAATAGTCATTCAGACGATATCACTGCTCTTAAGTTTTCAAGTGATGGGACAATTTTACTGTCAAGAAGCCTTGATGGATCACTGAAGGTACGTCGTCAATGCAGTTAGAGCATTCACTTTCACTTGTTTCTTTTTGTTCATTTAGCAACATCCTTCCTACTTATAATTGTATCCCGTTTCTCAGGTTTGGGATTTGCGCCAGATCAAAAAACCTCTCAAGGTGTTTGATGATCTCCCAAATAACTATGCCCAAACAAATATTGCATTTAGTCCTGATGAGCAACTCTTTCTGACTGGAACATCTGTCGAGAAAGAGAGCCAAACGGGCGGTCTGCTCTGCTTCTATGACAGGACAAAGCTGGAGCTTGTTTCTAGGGTAGGAATATCCACTACTAGTGTTGTGCAGTGTGCTTGGCACTCAAAGCTAAATCAGGTAAGCTACTCATCATGTCGCATGAAATATTTATATTCGTATTATTTTATAGTTGAAAAACTTGCGGGGTGGGCTCCAACTCGAGCATAGTTCAACTAATTAAGGTATTGTACCTTCCACCAGAAAGTCAGAGTTTTGAATCTTCACCTTTACATGTGCTTGAAGATATATGTTTTAACCCGTGACCTAGAAGATATAGACATATCATCTTTTGGACTTCCAAGCACACTAAATATGATGTCATTGAAGCTTACTTTTGTTTGATTTCTTTATCGTGAAATTGATTTCAAGATGTACTTAACCTAAATCTTTGCTGAACATCGGCAATCTGTCCCGATGTGTAATGGCATTTTTCCATGGTGAACTGCCATGTTCCATCCCCAATATAGCCCCAAAACATTTTCCTATGCATGGATGGATGTACTGGGGACAATTTTCTGTTCACACGTACATAAACATTTTAACGTTTGCACTCTGTATTTATGTTGTGCCCGAGCTAGGTCGATGCCAATAGAGGATGTCGTATTATTTAGTTTAAGATCTTTTCTACTCTGCAAGTTGTAACAATGCTATTTATTTTTATTTTTTTGTCAAGATATTTGCTACTTCTGGAGACAAAAGCCAGGGAGGAACACACATATTGTATGATCCAACACTAAGTGAGAGAGGAGCTCTAGTTTGTGTTGCCCGTGCACCAAGGAAAAAATCTGTTGATGATTTTGAGGCCAAACCTGTTATTCACAACCCGCATGCCCTGCCTTTATTTAGAGACGCACCGAGCCGAAAGCGACAGCGTGAGAAGATACTCAAGGACCCACTTAAGTCTCATAAACCCGAACTCCCGATTACTGGACCGGGCTTCGGAGGAAGGGTTGGTGTTACCCAAGGAAGCTTATTAACCCAGTATCTTATGAAGGTAACTGTCATTCATTTTTCTTCAACTCAAAACACAGCCTTTTGTACTCTGTTTGCTGTTGGAACTGGGAATAATTTGATTGTCTTGCATCATTATAGCAAGGAGGCATGATTAAGGAGACATGGATGGAGGAAGATCCAAGAGAAGCCATTCTGAAGTATGCTGATGTTGCAGCAAAGGATCCGAAGTTCATTGCACCTGCCTATTCGCATACTCAGCCTGAACCTGTTTTTGCGAAGTCCGATTCCGAGGAGGAAGATAAATGATCTTATGTAATGCTTCTTCTCCTTGGGTTTGCTTGGCAGCTGTTGGGAGATGAAAAATTGAAGATGGTTGACTGCTGCTGATCCTTTGGCTCACGGCGGGGTGCGAGTTTTGCCAGTCCCAGGTTCGATTTGATATAACAGCCTACTGTTAACAAGCAGTAGGAATTTAGGGTTGTTTCATTTTTAAATGTTGTAAGAAATGAGCTACAGAAGAGTGTATTCCTTGTGTACATTATTTGTGCAACACCATTGTCGTAGCTAAAAATATACAAGTTTGAGATGAATTTTTAAATGGTGATAGTTTTTTTTATCTAATTTAAAGTATTTGGTTAAAAGTGAGTTTGAAAATTCTATAAATAATTTGAAAACACAAAGTATTTTTTTCTTTTTTTTATGCATAGTAAAATCATAATTTTGAGTTTCTTATATTATATTGAAGTAGTTTTTTTAACCCTATTGTGTAATATTTACTTTTTATTATAAAAAAATATGATGTAATATTATACAAATAAAATGATAACCACGTTAGTTGGGGAGGAGAACTACATCTCGTCTTACATTGAAGAGCATAAAATCACCATTGTGATATCCCACATTAGTTGGGGAGGAGAACGAAACACGCTTTATAAGGGTGTCCCTAACAAAGGGGGGAAGCCCGAAAGGGAACAGACTATGTGCCACCAATGAGGAGACTATTCTCCCTCTAAAGGGGTAGACACGAGACCACATCAATTTGAGAAAAGAATAAGTGGAATAAGTGCCACCAAACTCGAAAGGGAACGGACTATGTGCCACCAAACTATTCTCCCTCTAAAGAGGTAGACACGAGACCACATCAATTTGAGAAAAGAATAAGTGCCACCAAAGAAGTTGGACTCCGAAGGAAGTGAAAGAAGCAGGGCTCTGAAGGAAGTAAATTGTGATATCCCACGTTAGTTGAGAGAACTGGTATCCCGAGATCCAAACATGCTTCTACTACTTCAATTTTGTTTAAGACGTGTAGTTGCATAATTAAGAATTGGAAACTCGTAATTTAACCATTACAAAATTTACCATATTCTGAGAAGCTTCCTGTCCAAAATTTGTGCCAATTGCTTCTACCAGTTGTCAGCTTCAAAGATGGGAGTCCGGAGTTACTTGTTATACTGGCACCTCCTATGATCGGGGATCTGTTTAAAGCAGCTTCCTTCCTAAATTTGGAATCCACAAATCTCTCAACGATACTCATTCCACTTCCTTTAGAATCTCTACCTCTTATATAAACTTCCCGTTTTCTCCCATTCCAATTCGCCCTCTCCTCCTCCGCCGCCGCATATGACAGAAATAGCCTGCTCCGCAGCCGACCTCCGCCACCTCCTTGGCGGCTCAGCTAATGCCACTGCTGTCGCCGATTACATTTGCGGTCGATTCGACGCCATTTCGAGTAAATTTGTGGACACAAGTTATGCTGTTGACAACACTTACCTTCTTTTTTCAGCGTACCTTGTGTTTGCAATGCAGCTTGGATTTGCTATGCTTTGTGCTGGTTCTGTTAGAGCCAAAAATACAATGAATATTATGCTTACTAATGTTCTTGATGCTGTCACTGGCGGCGTTTTTTATTATATCTTTGGATTCGCTTTGGCCTTTGGAACTCCTTCTAATGGCTTCATTGGTCATCATTATTTTGGCCTCTCGCAGTTCCCTTCTTCCTCCTTTGATTATGGGTTCTTTCTGTTTCAATGGGCTTTCGCCATTGCGGCTGCTGGGATTACCAGTGGCTCCATTGCTGAACGGACCCAATTTGTTGCTTATTTGATCTATTCCTCTGTTCTTACCGGTGAGTCCGATTCATCACGGTTTATTTGAATTGGATATCAACAAAATTGACAGATAGTTCCCTTTTTCAGGTTTGATTTATCCAATTGTCTCTCATTGGTTTTGGTCTGCCGACGGGTGGGGCAGCGCAAGTAGGTCGGAGAATCTTCTATTTGGCTCAGGAGTAATCGACTTCGCCGGCTCCGGCGTGGTCCATATGGTGGGTGGCATCGCCGGATTATGGGGCGCCGTCATTGAAGGCCCTCGAATCGGCCGGTTCGATCACGCCGGCCGGTCCGTCGCCCTCCGTGGCCATAGCGGCACATTGGTCGTTCTCGGCACTTTCCTTCTCTGGTTCGGCTGGTATGGCTTCAACCCCGGGTCGTTCCTTAACATCCTCAAAGCCTACGGCACTACCACCGCCGCTCCCTTTTACGGCCAATGGAGCGCCATAGGTCGCACCGCCGTCACCACCACCCTCGCCGGCTGCACGGCGGCACTAACCACCCTCTTCGGCAAACGTCTCCTCGTCGGCCACTGGAATGTCACCGACGTCTGCAACGGCCTGTTAGGCGGATTCGCTGCCATAACATCCGGCTGCGCCGTGGTGGATCCATGGGCGGCGATTGTTTGTGGGTTTTTCTCAGCCTGGGTTTTGATCGGATTCAACAAACTAGCGGAGAAACTCAAGTATGACGATCCGTTAGAGGCGGCGCAATTGCACGGCGGGTGTGGAGCTTGGGGGATTTTGTTCACTGGCTTGTTTGCAAAACAGGCTTATGTCAACGAGATTTATTCTGGGTTGCCGGACCGGGCGTACGGGCTGCTGATGGGCGGTGGCGGGAGGCTGCTGGCGGCTCATATAGTGCAAATTTTGTCGATTGCTAGTTGGGTTAGCGTGACGATGGGGCTGGTATTTTGGTTGCTGCATAAGTTTCAGTTGCTGAGAATCACGGCGGAGGAGGAGATGGCCGGCATGGACTTGACAAGCCACGGCGGATTGGCTTATGTGTATAATGATGAAGAGAAGCCTTACGTTTGAGGGGACAAGGAAGAACAAGACTTTGATTTTGTGGCATAGGTTGTGTTGTAGATGTGTTCTTTGGTTTAAGGTTTTAATTGTAATGGCTTCTTAGTTGATTTGTTCATGTCTGGAGGCGTAGTTCTACTTGGGTATAGTTTGATTGATTTTATCGATCATAGCGTTTAGGTTTATATTAATAGATTTGTCATATATTCGTTAATGCCTAAAATAAATAAGTAACATTATGTTATATCCTTCCGCATGTGTATTATATCATAAGAGATCTTGAAAGGGTGAAAATTTGAGGTATGAGCTGTAAACAACAATAGTGCTCAGGTCGACTTTTTTATTTCTATATATTATTTATTATCTAAAATGAAGCACGATGATCGCGTGAAATTTAATTAATTCAAGAATGCAAAATTATTCAAAAAAAGCCACTTAAATAATTCAACGAACCTATAATTTATAATAATAATAACAAAAAATAAAAATAACCTATCATTACCTTTTATTAAACAAATATGTTGAATTTACAAAAATATTTAAAAGATACTGTTCAAAAATTTCATTAACATATTTAAATTAAAATACTCTAATTTCAAATTTAATTAATATTCTGGAAGCTCCTTTTACAAATTAAAAAATATAATTTAATTTTCAATAGTTTTTTAATTTTTTTTCTAAAAATATTATAATGAATATCAATGTTAATGTTATATTTAAAAATTTTTGAGCATTCGTTAAACTTTTCTATCAGCAAGTTTGAGAATTAATAAATATTTGGGTTATCGAGAGCCATTCCAAGTCTTAGAAATTTAAATGTGAATGGGTAGTTTACTTTTATTTAATAAATTTTTGTCTAGTTGTATTTAGGTCTATTCTAAATATTACAGTACCACATCACATGGAGTAGTGTACTTTTATTCAATACATTCTTGTCCAGATGTATTTAAGCCTGAATTGGCCTTTGTTTTTTACTTTTTACAAAATCAATTATCTTTTTAAATTTTTAGCCGTGTTAACAAAAATTAAAAGCTAATAGTTGTGATTTAAATACTGAAATTAACTTACACTATATATTAAATTAAATTTAAAATTTGTTATTTAAATTTATCATAATTTGTTTCAAATAATTGGCTATATTTTTAATATAGGGTCTGGATTTTTTAAGATGTATGATGTGATGGGGAAGACTTATTTTGTCGGGTTGAGAACTTTAAATGAGAGTGAAAACTGTTACAGAATCAGAATGTCGACGGCAATGGAGTTTTGGACCTGCATCCTCTGTCTATGTGTTGCGTTCTTCTTCATTCTGAAGCTTAAATCGAAGACGGGAAATACGTCGAAGCTGCCTCCGGGACCAAAGCCTCTTCCGGTGATCGGAAACCTCTTGGATCTTGGCGAGAAGCCTCACAAATCGCTCGCCGCCATGGCCAAAGTACACGGCCCTATTATGAGTATGAAACTCGGACGAGTTACAGCCGTGGTGGTTTCTTCTTCCACCATGGCTAAAGAGGTCCTACAAACGAACGACCAGTTTTTGTGTAACAGAGCCATTCCAGATGCACTCAAAGCTCACGCCCACGACGAGGTCGGGTTTCCATGGATTTCTGTTTCTCCTCTCTGGAGGAACTATCGCAAAATTTGCAACAACACTCTGTTCGCCGGAAAAATTCTGGACGCGAACGAGAATCTTCGCCGGAGGAAAGTGGAAGAGCTCCTTGAGATTGTCCGTAAAAGCGCGGCAAAAGGCGAGGCAGTAGATTTAGGGAGATTATTGTTCATGACGACGTTGAATCTAATCTCGAACACAGTTTTCTCGGTTGACTTAGCAGATCCGAATTCCGAATTAGCAAGGAAGTTCAAGAACTACGTATGGGGAATATTGGAAGAAGCCGGGAAACCAAATTTGAGCGATTACTTCCCTGTGTTGAGGAAGCTCGACATTCAAGGGGCGAGGAGAAGAATGAAGATTCAAATGGGAAACGTCTTGGATCTTATAGATTCAATGATCAACCAGAGGATGAAGCAGCAAGAACTGAATCCAGATTCTGTTCCCAATAACGATATGTTACACCACCTTCTTAAGAACGAGGACACCGACGCCAAACTCGATCGAAATCAAATAGAACATTTACTAGTCGTAATACCTCCGCAACCCCTCCCCCCCCCAATTCGATTCTTAGATCTATTATGATATTGGAAGCTCCTCTTATACGTGGTTTTTCTAATTTGTGCAACAAAAACAAATTAGGTACTGTTCGTGGCCGGTTCGGATACAAGTTCAGGGACATTACAGTGGGCAATGGCGGAGCTATTGCAGAATCCAGAGAAACTAGCAAAAGCTCAAGAGGAAATCAGGGGAGTTTTGGGGAAGAACAAACCAGTGGAGGAAGCGGACATTCCGAGGCTGCCATATCTGCAAGCAGTAGTGAAGGAAGTTTGTTAGATAAAACCTTTGTTTTTTCTTTATTTAGATTCACACGTTTACATTTAATTTCCCTTTGACCATTTGACAAACACGTCGAATGGATTAGCTAATTCTTAGACGTCAATTTTCTAGGAAGTGGCACAGATTCAGTTGGCCACTCTCCACCCATTTTTAGGATAGGTTGTATTTAAATAGGAAATCTGTTTACAAGATTTCACCACCGGATTTTGAAGAGCAGTCAAAGTTTCAGTCCTTCTCTCTCTCTTATTTTACGCATTTTATCTTTCCTCCAACAACCTCCTGTCGACAATATCCTCTCGGTGATTTCCCTGGCCAATTATCGAAATTCAACAAAGTTTTCCGATTACATCCAGTGGTTCCATTGTTGCTACCTCGTAAGGCGCAACAAGAAGTGGAAATTGCAGGTTTCACAATCCCTAAAGATGCACAGCTTCTGGTAAATACATGGGCGATGGGAAGAGATTCGAGTGTCTGGGAGAATCCGGAATCGTTCGAGCCAGAGAGGTTTATGGGATCGGAAATTGACGTCAGAGGGCGGAGCTTCGAAGTGATTCCGTTCGGCGGAGGGAGGAGGATATGCCCTGGACTGCCATTGGCGATGAGAATGCTGCATTTGATTTTGGGTTCGCTCATTAACTTCTTCGATTGGAAGGTTGAAGATGGACTTGAGGTGAATATGGACGATAAATTTGGGGTCACCGTGGAAATGGCCCATTCACTCAGAGCCATCCCATCCCTAATCGTTTAGAATAATTCCATAATTGCTACAATGTTTGGGCCTAGACTCATTGGGCTTGGTTGGCCCAATAGACTGATTCGCATGTGGTCGTCCTTGGGCCCACTAGACTCATGGTTTCTTTCCTTTCGAGTCTACAGGGTATTCAACCTCTAGGCTTTTTTATATTATTATTTTTAGTATTAAAATATGTAGAATTGAATTATGTTTAGGTTAATATTTTAATTAAACAACTAAAGGATGGAAAATACAAATAATCGTTCTAATAAAAATTTCTCACTACAATCAAATCCGAGTTATTTACATCATTTTTTTTTTCATTTTTCAATATTTTCTAGATAAAAATAAATTAGTTTTGATAAATACATTAATTTATGTATAATTATCGTTTAGGTAATGAAAAAAAAAATCTCTGTCACCTCTCTCCTTCCTTGTTTATATCGAGATTTTTTACCCTGTTTTAGGTGGGTCCACATGAGTTAAATGAACATTTCTAAGCACAATTCTATTAGGAGTAATCTCAAACGTCTAGATAAGAAAAAAAAATACTCTCCATACTTGATTTTACCTATCTAACCTTCTATCTTGTATTTTATATTTATAATATAATATTTCATAAACAAAAAGAAATAAAAATGTTGTTAGTGTTATATATTCTAGCTGAAGACTGAAGTCTCCTGGAGTCCTATGAATTTTTGGCCAAAAAGAAAAGAAATGACGTAGTCAAACGAGTCTCTAAATTGTCGTTTCATTCACAGTGTTGGGAACACGGAATGTCCGCAGCGCGTGGACCAGAGATACCATCAATTGATCGCCCTTTTGCAAAAATAGAAAAGCAGTGGCTTTGCAGCAGTAACAGGGGAGTGTTGTTGCCATGTAATAAAGTTCCTTACCTAGCTCCATCGTCTCTCTCTCTCTCTCTCCTCTGGTTCGATTTCTTTCTTTCTCTCTCTACACTCTCTCCTAAGATCTTCCTCTCCCCTTTTCGCCATTTTTCTATCCCTAAAAGACCCCGCTCTTTTTTTTCCCTCCTTCTTGTAAAGTGATGTTCTTATACTCTTTCTTCTAGATCCTCGACCGCATTTCATGGATCTGTAAGCCATATATCTGCATTGCTTCGTCCTGCTTCTGCCGTTTCGTTTTCTCTCTCTTAGGGTTTCTTGTTGTCATGTTTTGGTTTTGTCTTTGTTGAATTGAACTGGGGGAATTGGTCGGGTTTTTTTGAGTGGTGTTGAGCCATGTAGTGGGGATTTGGAGCTCGCATTGTGTCGGGGGAAATTGTTGATGGCGAGTTCTTCACCGTATCCCCTGCGAGTGTTTTCAATGGCAGATTTATGTTGACGTGGTTGAGCTTGTTGTTTGCGATGGCTACTGATGATGATTCTTTCCTCTGAAATTTGCTCTTTGGACGCAAAATGCCTTTCTCGATTACGCACCTTCTTCTGGTTCTTCATGCGGCCAATTTGGTTTTTTCTTGCTCAGGTACTGTGCATTTACTTTTTCGACTTGAGTTTGTTGAACAAGTGCAAAAAACTCTGTTAGTTTCTGTGTAAAAGAGTCATTCGCAAGATTATTAATCCTGAGCAAACTAGAAACAGTTCATTTACACCACAATGTTTGTTTTTAGCTATATCTTTAATCCGACAGTAAACACGACATTCAATTTGCTACTGATTTTTGATGCATTTTGCTAATCACTTGTCGCGAGCTTTGTTATTATTATGAGAATCTGAATTGTTTGACCCTGTATCAGAATATAGAATGTACTGAGAGTTACCTATTTTCTCGGGTTTCAGGACAATCTACACCACACATATACTTATCTCCTTCCTTAGAGCCCAACCTGGAAACAACAATGGCAGAAATGTCAACAGAGCATGGTATAGTGGTTTTTACTTGGAATCAACTTGTCTTGTTCGATGAACATACATTCATATTCCAATTTTGGTATAAATCTATGATAAGTGCCCAAATGTATTCAAATGTATAGTGATGTAACCTGTTTTTGAACTAATCAGACCCATCAATTGTCCAAACTCTTAAGTTGGAATATTTTATGCATTTTTTAAACTTTTGATTATGGTTTATAGTTAATGGAAGGAACTTCTGTTAGAAAGTAAAAAGTGAAGCTAAATCTTTCATGTTAATGATTATATTGTCATATGTTTTTATGTCAAGGAGTTCATCTTATTAGCTCTACCAACAAACTTAATTCTTCTGGTTTCAACTTCAGTTTCTCGCGCTTCTCTTAAGTTGGTTTCAACAACTTAAAGAAGAAAACGTTAAACTAACTTAGTCAGTGCAGTTGGTGGGATTAACAGTGCCTTGAGTTTGGATTAGATAAATAGTTAATTAACTATGGATTGAGTACTAGACAATATTTATGAACTAGGGATGTGGAATTCGAGTAAGGTAGTGGGCATGGTTTATCTGATCATTTGGTGGTTCTTTTTGAGTGTTTAATTTACCCTTGGTGGGAACAGTTCTCAAATTCTATATAATTTTTTTTTTCTGGGACTACAGTCAGTAGGAATGAAACTAAAGGGAAATAGTGAAAATTTCTACAGTTGTAATCCCTTTTTCACTCATTTTAATTGTTCAACAATTCATGGTCTTCCCTTTTCCTATGGGTGCATATGGCTCCCTCATTGCAGTAAGTTCGGAGCCGATGGGTTTTTCATTTGTGCCCTCAAAATTACATGGTAACTGGATGTCTAAGTCATCTTCGGGACCAACGACTGCTCCTGCACCTTCTCCAGGTATGAAGGCAATGTAATAAATTCTCCACTGTCCTCTGTGTTGCTATTACTTACTGACTCTACCTTTTGTAGGTCCTATAGTTGCACCTTTACCTATCCGACATCATCGATGGCGTCGTAAACAACCTCATGTGGTTGCTCCTACCCCGTCAAAAGACCAAGGTAAAGTTGGGGATTTATTTATTCAGTGGTCAATTATTTATCCAAATGGGGAAACTGTATAACCTCATAGTACATGATTGCCAGGTGATGTTTCTTTGATTCTAGGATCCCGATCCACATTTTTTGTTACTGCTTTTAGGCTACTGAAATGCTTGTTCCTTTTATAATGGCTCCATCCATTCCATTTCCTGCTAAATAAACAGGTTTACAGAGCCATTCCTGTCTGTTAAGCATTTGCTCAAATATGAGATACTTAAGAGCTGGATTTTGGCTGTGAAACTAAATTGTTTTAATTCAATATCATGCTATCTTTGAATAGGTTTCTAAAATTTGACATTATGATGTGATGGTGATCCATTTAAACTTGTGCCCTCCTTATCAAAGGAGTTTTGAAACTTTACATCTTTCATCGTCTAGGACAATGATTATTAGCTTTCAAGTTGTAAATCTTCTTTTATGAAATTCTTTGTACTAAATATTTTTGAACATGGACTTGAAAGGTTGTGATCAAATATGCATGGAACCTCTTACTGCGGCACCCTTTGGTTCACCTTGCGGCTGTGTATTTCCCATGAAAGTCAGACTTCTTCTGGATATAGCTCCATATGCTGTTTTTCCTGTGATGAACGAGCTTGAAATTGAGATTGCAGAGGGGACTTACTTGGAGCAAAGCCAAGTGAAAATCATGGGTGCCAATGCAGATAGTCAAAATCAGGGAAAAACTGTGGTGGAGATAAATTTAGTGCCTCTGGGAGAGAAATTTGATAATACCACTGCAGTACTGACTTACAGAAGATTTTGCGATAAAAAAGTGCATCTAAATATGACGCTTTTTGGTGATTATGAAGTTGTCTACATCAGCTATCCAGGTAATAACTTCAACATTTTTTCTCCGCTTTTGTTAACGTCTTCCTCTCAGTAAATTTTGAGAATAAATAACCCATGATCAGGGATTCCTTCTTCACCGCCATATGGAGGTTACATGGGAAGTGCTCCTAGTGGAAGTGCTGGAGATCTTCCCATTACTGCAAATTTCGTTAATAAGAGCCAGAAGATGAATGTTAAAATAATTGCCGTCATAGCACTTTCAGCATTTGTTGTGTTATTGGTGTTCATTGGAGCTCTTTCCATCTTTTTTAAATGGAGAAAGGTTGGCAGACCGTCTAGTGCTGTTGGCCCTGTCTTCACGTCATCAATTAACAAAAGATCTGGTGAGTCTGCAGATCCTGATCTCATAGCTATCACAAGGATCTTTCCACAAGTATTGTTCTAGTATGAGCTGTTTATCCTATGAGCTATCTGGAAACCTCTATTAATTTTTCCTGTAATACTGCTTGAGATGATTGCATTTGAATTAATGCAGGTCTAGGATCAGCCTTATCGAGTAGCATTGCAAGCTCCACATCTGTTTCCCTAATGTCCGCGATGCCAACCAGTATTCAATCTGTCAAAACATTTGCACTTTCTGAACTTGAGAAAGCAACAGATAAATTTAGTTCAAGAAGGATTTTAGGCGAAGGGGGATTTGGCCGGGTTTACTTTGGTCTTCTGGAAGATGGAAACGAAGTTGCAGTTAAGTTGCTTACACGGGATAATCAGAATGGAGACCGTGAATTTATTGCGGAAGTTGAGATGTTGAGTAGACTGCACCATCGGAATCTTGTGAAACTGATTGGGATATGCATTGACGGGCGAACTCGCTGCTTAGTTTATGAGCTTGTCCATAATGGAAGTGTTGAGTCCCACTTGCACGGTATATTTCCTATATCACCTACGAGTAGGCCTTTTGGGCGTTTGTTAACCTTTCTTCTATGTACTGCTGATAGATGTCTCCGTCTCCTATACATGGTTTGTTTGATGAACTTTGGTCTCATTGCCTCATTTAGTATAAAAATGTTTCATTTCCCTCTTTCCTTTATCATTCAATATGGTGAGAATTAACCATTCTTATCATTAGTTAAATAACATTTTATTTTAATGAAAAAACCTAGTTTCAAAAGTTTCTTTATTGTTCTTAATTAATTTTTGTACTTGGTGTCATCCTAATTGTACTTGGTTTTATTTACAAAAGGCTCTTCACCTGCACTGTGTAGGCATTGACAAGAGAAAGGGACCCCTTGACTGGGATGCGCGGTTAAAGATTGCTCTTGGAGCAGCAAGAGGTTTGGCATATCTTCACGAAGATTCTAACCCCCGTGTAATTCACCGCGATTTCAAGGCAAGTAATGTTTTGTTGGAAGTTGACTTCACCCCCAAGGTTTCGGATTTTGGATTGGCTAGGGAGGCAACTGAAGGAAGTGAACATATCTCAACACGGGTGATGGGAACTTTTGGGTAATTCTGGCGTCTGCTTATCTTATTTTACTGTATTGATCTGTTTACTAATTATTAGGAGGATTAACTTTTGGAACATTGTTAAGGAACATGAATCTCAAGTCTGTCTCTATTTTCGCATGACTATTGGCGGATATCAGTTATCATCTTTTGTTGACCGAGTCAATAAATTTTCAGGTATGTTGCCCCTGAATATGCAATGACAGGGCACCTACTCGTCAAGAGTGATGTTTACAGCTATGGAGTCGTGCTACTTGAGCTTCTTTCGGGAAGAAAACCAGTGGACATGTCCCAGCCACACGGTGAGGAGAACCTTGTAACATGGGCTAGGCCTCTACTAACCAGTAGAGAAGGTTTGGAGCAACTAGTAGATCTTTCTCTAGCTGGTAGTTATGACTTTGATGACATGGCCAAGGTGGCTGCCATTGCTTCCATGTGCGTTCATCCAGAGGTGACCCAGAGGCCATTCATGGGAGAAGTTGTGCAGGCTCTGAAGCTGATATACAACGACACAGATGAGACGTGTGCAGACTACTGCAGCCAAAAGGAGTCCTCAGCTCAGGAATCGGATTTCAAAGGCGATCTCGTACCATCAGATAGCAGTTGGTGGAATGCTGGTGGTCTCACACCTCGACTGACATACGGTCAAGCTTCTTCCTTCATCACCATGGAATACAGCTCTGGCCCCCTTGAAGATATGGAAAACCGACTGTTTTCAACTTCAAGTTTGGTGGGCGACGAGATATCCTTGCCCATTCGGCATGGAAACAGGTCAGGTCCCTTACGAACTGCTCGAAGCAAGCCTGCCTTTTATAGATTGTCGGGAAGTAGGAGCGAGCATGGAGGATTTCTTTCAAGGCCTTCTTGGAACAACAATTGGTTTTGGGTTTGAGTTTCGTTTGAAATCTTCAAAAAAAAGAGAACAAATGCTTGGCAGAGCAAAAGAAATGGATCTGCCGCCATTGGTGCCCCCTCGACAGCTCCATTCTTGATCATTTTATGCTGTGTGGAGCTCTCAAGGGGACGGACATCGGTGCTGATCCTCGTGGATTCCTTTCTGCGACTCTTTAAAGTGTACAGTTTTAACTCTCTGGTTCATAAGGAGCTTTCAGGCTTGGAAGTTAAAAAGTTGTCTTTAATGTGTGAGAGAAGGGGGGAAAAAAGAGCGCAAAGTATTCGGTTCTTAATTTTGGAATTATTGATTCATTACCGTACAAGTTAGGAATGTAATTTGAATACTCTCTTGTATCATATTATTTTCTTTTTAAAAATTCTGCATTACTGTGGCGCTGTGCTATGTGCTTGCAAATTAAATGACAATCTCAGTCTCACCACGCCCGCCATTTTTTTAAAAATACTAATTCTAAATATTTTATAATGTTAGGACTAATTTATTCGAAATGAGATATATATTTTTTAATAATATATTTCTGATTTTAATATTAAAAATTAATTTAAAAAACGCGCGCAATCCAACTTCGCAGCTCCGCCAAACGTTCTGCGCCTCTTTAATAGGTATAAAAATCGTTCCGCCAAATGCTACGATTCTCCTCTCTCTTCAAATTCAACCATGTCTGTTTGGTTTCTCTCTATTTACAATTTCGTTTTTTCAATCAAAATGCGGCCGATCGTTTATACTTCAGTGATTCGTTTCTTTTCATGCCGAGAAAGTCTTCGTCCTCGGTTGTGATTCCTCTTCCTTGAAACTGCATCGTTGAATGAGTTCGTTCTTTTCTGTTTTTGCAGTGTTTAACCGTGTCACTGTGAATTCGTTCAGGCTTGAGATTTTCAGCTTATAGGAAATGTTGGAGTGCAGCGACGGATAAGAATTACGAACATGCCGAATCGGTAAAATTCTTCATCATCTTTCACGTTTTATACTTCCGCCTTCAGATTAGTCCCGGAGAAGAAATAGTTTGCCTATTTAACTTTTTTTTCAGCTATCTGGTTAAAATTTTGTCGTACAGCATAATCATTGCCGACTAATGTTTGTCAAATTCATTACGAACTAGTGAATAGAAATATAGTGAAACGGAGTTGATTTAAAACTTGCGGCATATGGGGCAGATGTTTGTTGCTAATCATCCGAGGGAAAAGAATTTGAAGGCTCTTTGCTCTGTGCTAACTACAGGATGTAAAAGCATTTTTCTTAGAGATGTATGTCATTTGAGCACTGCGCCAAAGCTACTAGAATAACCAAGATCTTTTGTTTAATTTCTTATGAAAAAGCTAAACTAATTTATCCAATGGTTCAAAGCTCCACGGAGTATTACTTTTTTTGAATTTGATGATATGAAGGGTATTTAGTTATATTTCATCCTCTTATATTTTCTTCAGCCAGTGGCGAAGTTGAGAGCTAATGATATAGGGACAATGTGTGGAAAGCTGGAAGTGGGGAACGGGTGAAGAAAGTGTACGTCTCTGAAATGGTTGATACTACTGCAGCTGGAGATGCATTCATCGGTATGGTTGTATACGTTTTCTTGAAACGAGTATTTACTTTGGTACCTTTGTGATCCTTTATTTTCTTGAGAAATCTGGTGTGCAAATTGTATTATTCCAATGTTCTCTGCATAAAGTTCTGTGACCATTTCACTAGGAACCTGAAGCATGGTTATGTTCTTTTTCCATTTAAAAATTCAAATTGATTTCGCTTTAATTACCAACGCCGAGAATAATCTTTGCAGTCTTTATTTCTTTATTTGTTCAATAAGGAAGCTGATGGATTATTATTTCTCTCTTCCCATTGTAACCACCTGTCCTTATATGCCACCAGAGAATCATGCCATTCGCCACCCTGGTGGTAAGTTACACAATGTGCACTATGAAAAAAATCTGATGTAAACGGCCTGTTTATGGTTTTGGAAGCGCTTCAAAATTATCACCATTATTTTGTAGATTCGAGGCAGCTGCATGTTGCTGAGCTTTGGGCGCTCGAAGTGGTTCCACATTCGAGGATCCGCTTAGAGTATTTCTTAGATGGTATATCCTCTGAATAATTAACTTACATAAGAAATCTATTCTCAGCTTACAATCTGAGCCTTTTCTATTTATCATAAAATGTATTCAAGTCCAATTTCAAACCAAAAAATTTGCTGTTCAACAGGTTTTACGGTCAGAAAAATGAAAAAGAAAGGTAGAAAAGCTCAGGGCGGGATCACCGGAAGCTTTCTTCCTTGATGATATAGTCACAAAGGTTAGCTTTCTAAACTAATACTTTTTTGTGCTTCAAACTTCGAAGTATATAGAGTTTCTTTCCTGTGCATTTCGCATTTGGGGATTTAAACTGTTGAACTCCCGATGAAGGAAATTATAATGCATTACATGATGAACCATTCTTTTAGCTCAGTTCTTTATGTTAATGGAAATTGACATGGTATAGAATTTTACTGAAGAATTCTTTGGATCCGCAATGACATTTGAGACAACTAGGATCAGCACTGCCTTTTCCCTCTAGATCTCCCCCATATGAACGTCACCTTATGGTCAGCCTCAAACCAAGGCCGACCAGGAACTTGAGCTTCTGCCCAAACTTTTCCTTGCTCTTGTTTGGTGGCTCAGTATTTTTCATGCTTCATGCTTCAACCTATTTTATTTCATGTTAGATTTTTTTCTTTATTTGGTTCTTGATTTTTTCGGTCTCCTATTCTTTGTCCTATAATCTAATTTTGGTCGTAACATTAGCTTCACTCCCTGATTGAGATTTATGATTTAGCTTATAGTAAGAATACGAAGTTCAATTTAGGAGTTTTTTTTTTTTTTTTCAATTTTAGTTTATCATTTTTTTAGATATTTTTATTTAGATTTATGATATTCTTTCTTTCTAATTTTTTGTGATATGAGATAATCCTTGAATTGCTTTTAGGATTATCATCAAATTCGTAGTCTTATTTGAGTACAATATTCTTCTATAGATTTGAGAATTTATTACTTTTGCAAAAAAAAATTCAAAAACTTTAAAATGGATTTTCTAATTAAAATTATTTCTTTTTTGGGATGATGCCTTTTTAACCGAATGGTTTTTTTTACCATAATTGTGACTTATTAATTAGATATGATTAAAAAAAGAAGTCCACATCTGATATAAGCAAAATTGTAGGAACATAATGTTCACTCGAAAAGATTTTTTTTTTTGGAGAAATCAGAAATTTAACTATTTTTTTTTTTTTTTTGGAAACGTAATTGAATATAGGAAGCATTGACTTTAACGTACTATAGCTATATTATACAAAATGGGCCGAACGATAGTAATTCACTTTCTGAAATAAGACTTGTTTACTACTTTTTTTTTTCTTTCAAATATATACTTTTTAGGCAACTTTTGAAATTTTAAATAAACTTAAAAAATTGAAAAGAGATCATTAACTTTTTTTTGTTAGTTTTCAGTGTTTGGTTATTATTCTAAAAAGTAAATGACAAGACAGATAAATTATTTGTAAATAAAAGTAATTATAAAAAGAGAACAACGAGGAAGAATAATTTTTAGATGGGCCCTAGATTTTGAAGTCATTTTAAATTGTAAATCACACCGAAAGAAATTGTATTCATCAAAATTATTTTTAAAAATTGAAATCAGTAAGTTTTTAATTACGAATTAAGTACTCTTTATTGCTTTTATAACAATTAAATATCTTTTAAATACTTTGCAAAATATTTTGCAATTCCTGCAGCTGTACTACGTCAACCAATTTTAACTGTTTTTACGTTTTTTTAGCGCTCTGTCTTATATGTATGATTAGTTGAAGATTCTGTTTTCTTTAATCTTTTATTATTTTAGCGATTGATGTAAAAATATAAAGAATATAAAATGAACTGCTAAAAGTATTTTTTTTTTTTTTTTTTTCATTTGCATGATAATATTTTTGCCCACTGGTCTGGATTTATTTATATAGGATAATATCGTTGATTTTAAATTTACTCGAGAGAAAGAAAGGCAAGAGGGTGGAACAAAACTTAAGAGACGGGTGGCGAAGCCCGAAGAGGAAAGTCCATTAAAAGAATTACAGTCAGGCGTCACCTCGGCGTATTGTTATTCGACTTCATAAGCAAGATGCCATTGCCGGCTTTCGTTTCAAGCATTACGCTTGTTCATTCCCCTTCAAGCTTCTTTCTCCTCTCCAAATTATCCAGGTCTGCTTTCTCTTACCTGCAATTATTACTTCGCTCGGCCTTTTCCGATCAAAACGAAACTAATTGTTTACATTTCAGCGGTTTCTTTTTGGATATTCTGATTTTAGGCCGAGAATGTCCTCGCCCGCATCTCCTTCGGTTTCGATTCCTATTCCTCAAAATCGCGTGGTTGTGAGTTTTCTTCTCTCCCTCTTGATCGCTCTGTGCTCTTATTTTCACTGTCCTTATGAGTGTATATCAATTGGATCATTGAAGTTGATTGAATGGTCGGATATGTGTTTGCAGCTTGGTGTTGGTACTGTGTCTGTTGATTTTTTGGCGGCAGTGACTTCTTATCCAAATCCTGACGACAAAATTAGAACCACTAGCTTAAAGGTATGTTCGCTTCTGTTAGGGATGCGATCGAGGCGTGAATTTTTGTGACTGCTTAGCTATATATTAAGCATTTCTAAAATTTGTGTCTATGTGATATGTTGACTTGCTCGAACTTGGCTTTATCCTGTGATGAAAGATTCAGTGTTGACTAAAGTGACTCGGATGAGATATCTGAAAGGATCATTTTTTGTCCAATTTATTATGTCAAGTTTTCGACGTTGTTGAAAACTGGAATGTTTTCAGTTCAGACTTATTTTTTCTTGCCCTGTGAAGTATTGTTCTAACTAACCAGTATACCATTTATGATTCATATACACCCCACGGGTAATTCAGTGTTAATGTAATGGACAGTGGGAACATATACTTATAATATCTGGACTTGCCGAGACGTAGGAAGTGAATATGTTTGGAGTAGAGCTTAGCATATAACATGTGAGATTAGTGGAACCTAATCATCAAGATGGCTTAGTTAGGGAATCGCTGAAAGGCCGTTCGAAACCCAAATTAAATGAAATGGAGAAAAGGTAGCAAACGAGCACTACATTGCAGCAAAACAGAAAGCCATGAATTTGAGAAGGAAGTGTCATGGGGCTACCCTAGAGCGGCATGATGCAAAGCCAACATAAAATAGTTAAAGAACCTTGGCGCTACTCTAGAGTGCCATGGTGCTAGACCTAAAGCGGAGTAGAGTTCTTGAAGTGTCAGCCTTCATGGCACTGGTGCATGTAGCAAATAATGCCCTTGGATTCTTCTAGTTAATTGATATTTTCCTCCTTTATTT